CTCAAGTACTGTAGGAACCAGTTTCACTATAAAATATTGAAAACTCCCAACATCCGTGAGCTTATTCAGCGACATTGCGTGTAGAGATGATAGATCATTCAGAGGAGGAGCTTATGCACACTTGATGACCCTGTTGCTAGTCTGCCATCACAGTCATTGTTTCACCAGTAGATCTTGCAAAATAAATTCCACAAATTATGTTATAGGGTATTATGACTTGCTTGTAAACTTTGAAGTGAAGAGCCCTGATCTGCAAGGCCATCATAGTGCACGGCAGTCCTAAGTCTATGAGTTATGATAACCTTAGCGCTACGATAGTTTTGTGGAAGTGTGGTTCTGTTAAACTCAATAGGATTATGCCAAGGATCGCAGATGTCTGCCTATTCACAAATGACAGTGAATGTTTTTAAAAAGTCATGAGCGGGAAGTAATGAGTGAAAAAAGAATGAAACAATATTCTTCTTGGACCAATCAGCAGACTGCTGTCCTTGGTCACTCTCAGTTTAATGAAGCGGGTGACCTGTCTTCCACCTTTGCATAATTTTGCAATACCTCTAGAATTTGCTAAATATGTCCTTTAAACATCCTGTGTGCCGTTGAACAAAGCGATCTTAGCGTTAAGGTGATTGTAACTCCTGTACTTTAACATAGACTTACGACAGTCGTAGCGCTAAGGTTGTTTTGTACAACGGCAGTTGGTAGAACTGGACATGAGGGGAAATCACCCTTCTAGTAGGTGGAATTCACACTTCACTCTACTCATATTCTCCTCTTATTTTGCCTGCGAATGCATCCACCATGCAAAAGGAGCAGGAATAACATTTTCTTCATACCGTGCATGAATTCAGTGTTAGAGTGAACCTTCCCTTTATGATATCGTTCCAATGGATTTGCAGCCATGTTTTTCTACATAATAACCCTCACCTTGGAACACCCCATCTTCCAAAGGCAAGTCAGTTAACTGACGGTAAAAGTCCAGTTTCCACCCTTACCGAACTAGGCTGGTATTATGGAGTTTCATTGTGGCTTGGCTAATGTGTCTATGCCTAGTGCAATCAAAATCCCGCAACAAAATCGAAATCCAGTTTGTAAACTGTCACACAGATTTCGGTTGATTGCAGGATTTGCAAGCATGTGCACCTACAATTTGTTGTCAACAGATATTTTCCAAATCTTTTCATATTTTTAATCAAGGTGCTCACGTGATTGGATGCACATCGCGATGTAAGACTCATTTTATCGCAATAAAGATCTTGATTATTGATCAGATTGTCTTGACTGGGCGCCGCCATTTTTTTTTAAAGCAAATGCAAGTGATATGAGAGGTGGAATCTGAATGGTCCATAGGAGAGGCATAGAAGGGACATAACTCATAATAGCCTCTGGTGGCGCTACGATCGGGCCCAGGAATTCCAGCCTATTTCGACAAGGGTGGAAACTGGACTTTTATAGTCAGTTAACTCTCTTGCCTCGGGAGGATGAGAACACCCTGAAACTTTTTTTGAATGTTCGTAGTTTTTTTAGCAAGCAGACAATGACTCAAAGTATGGAGTTTATGAGTAGTTCTTGCAAGCTAACCTCATATAAATAGGTATCAGGTTGTGATGTCCAGTATATTCGATTGGTTTCTCCCATCAATCACACTGTCCATGCATAATAAAGAGGATTTAATGCAGTGAAAGAAGTCCTGCAATCCTAGCTCTTCAAATTGTATTTATAACAGTGAGCTGGGTATTCTATAGGGCTGGGACGAGTCCAAATTGCCTACCCGGGTACCCAACCCCCTATTACCCGACCCTACCCGGGTCCCCAACCCCCTATTACCCGACCCTACCCGGGTACCCAACCCCCTATTACCCGACCCTACCCGGGTACCCAACCCCCTATTACCCGACCCTACCCGGGTCCCCGCTGTATGTCCCAAGAGACAGGTACAAAATGTCTGATTGGGAAACGTTTGACCGTACTCCTGGCAACATGTATTTAGATACAGGTTTAAAATGAGCTGGACATTGCATACACTGAAGTTGACTGAAGTTTTAACTTTATGCACACATATTAAGTCAGAAGGAATGTGTGCAGAGTCAGAGAGAAATGTGAACATTTGTCACTTTTAGTGTAACCATAGAGTTTTAGATAATTTTTGCCATTAAACAATATAATTACGTGACTAACTGTGGCCGATGTAGTTTTTGTATATATTTGTTTTAATTTCATTTTAGGTTTTTACGTATATTTATCATATATAACTAGTTGTCCGTTTCAGTCAGCTATAACAAAGTGTATCTGACCTGTCTTACCTACTAACTGCCCCATGGCCAGAAGCTTCATTTGCTGATTGGCCAAGCTAACACCTATTGTTAAACTGCATGCTTTGATTACACTGCATACTCTCTCAGCACATAAACTGACAGAACTGCTCAGACCAGCAAAGTGTAAAGAGAGAATATTAAATCAGGTGAGTTAAATAGTTATAATCTATATCTTGTGTTGTATTTAAATAATACAGTATGTTCAAAGTGTTATATGAAGTAAACTAAATGTATGTAATCTAACATAAATGTTGATTTATGTCTAAATATTTAAATCTGCATAGGATAAGCTAAACATCCATACTTTATCACTAAAATGTATTCTATCACTTCAATGAAATATGTGTGAAAGTGTTTTACCTCAAGAGTGTTTTAATAAGCTTTGTAATGTAGAGATTTAGATGTGATACAATGCAAATCATTGTAAAGAAAATGTGTGTATTACTTTGTTCAATATATTAAATGTTAAATAGTGTTTTAGTCTATGTATTGTTTATTCAGATAATCTATGGTGTTGCCATATAGGCAGTTGGGATCCACACCCTTGTATCACCCACAGGGTATGCATTGTGTTATTTATATTTGTCTAAGACTTACAATGTAATCTAATTGTGATAACCACATTTAATGTAATATCATATCATTAATTTCTGTCTTAAAGTATTGTATATGTTTATGCAGAATGTGTAAGCGTTATGCATTTATATTATGTATATATATTGTGTATATATTATAGTCAAATGAAAGTCAAGGAGTTATCTCCCTTGAAGGTCGGTATTGTTGATCATGTACATACTGTATATGTTCTAGTTATAATCGTTTAAGGTTCAGTCTATCTTGTGTTTAATGGATGACTAATATATGTAAATAATTACTTGTACTAAGCCTATGCTGTGTATCTAGCATTAATGATAATGTTTTACTTAGTATTTATTGTGTTATTATGTGTTTCAGGGTGTATGATATATAGATCCTTATCACACTCGACGCATCGCAATAAAGACCTCAACCCCGCAGCATGTGTTTGTTCGCTATAAAAAGACCTTCACTAAACTGCTACAAAATGGAGCCCCCAGTGAGGATCTTGCGGAAGGATGCTTGTGTGAGCCACTACGTGGGATGTGCACCTATTCATTCTTGGAGGGTCCGGGTCTGTCAGTTCGTCCACTCATCATGTGCTCTACGGTATTTGAGAGTTACTTGTGTGTAATGACTTGATGTTCAGTCATGACCATGTGTCATATGCTGTATCGCATACTGTGACAGTTTGTCTACATAAACTGAATTCTAAAGACATTTGAAGTTTGATAAATTCTGATTAATTATATATTACTCATATCTATATGATGTAATTTTTCATCTTTGCCTTGTTTGATATTTGTCATAGATATTTTGCTGTATTCACACAGCATTTAAAGCTAATGGTAAGCTGTGTTACTGATTTGATATCAGTCATGTAGGACATGTACATTGTTCTCTCTGTTATACTTTCAATATATTAGGCCTTGAGTGTAAATATTTTTTGCTTGCGTCATACATGTAGTTGTAATATATTCTGCTCCAGCCACGTTGGTACCAACTCTTTCAACACTTGTGTAATTTAGCTTTAGTAGCTGTGTATTGTTATTGCATATTTTTATATTTTCTGGCCAGATAAATTAGCTATCATGTAGTCTTTGACAATTATTTATTTTATCTTATTCCTTGGTGATCACCATTAGTTATCCTTAGCGTTTCGAATCCGGATTACCCCTTTTATGTTTCTAGGTTTGTCAGCACCATGTCCCTGTGTCAGTGGGTTTCACCAAAGTGGTAACTGTCTGAGACCTGCATCACTTGTGGTTATTCCCCCACATTAAGCTGATACGCTGTGATATAACTTGAATACTGTTGATAACGGCGTTGAACCCAAGTCAGTTACTCTTTAGTTACTCTTTAGTTACTCTTTAGCTACTCTTAGTTACTCTTAGTTACTCTTAGTTATTTTAGTTTTCTTAGTTCATGTGTTCATTGCTGTTTGTGTATCACTATAAGTACATCTGCATACCCTGAGTATTGTAATACTGCATTAGTTTAGTGAGTTCCCAGTTATCATAATGTGAGTATGAGCGTGTGATTTATTGCTTTCATTTTTTCTGTTAAATAAACCTTTAAATAATAAAGCATAAATAGGTATTTATTAAAATGTAATCATGTAAGTGTTCATGTTCTGACAGCCTGACGACAGACTCAGTAAGCACTACTTTACTGCACTGTTACTAACACATTCCCTATTCCTATGTCGTATTGTGTTGTCTTGTATTTCTGTTTTGTTTCTACATTTAGCCAACATGAATTAGTCCTATTTGGTAAGTAAGCCTCACTTGTCAGTTATCCAACTGCAACCGTTTTCTTTCCACGTGTATTGTTATTACCCATAATAACAACTGCATTTATCTCGCCCTAACTATATCTTCTTTCGGGTGTTACATCACGTGGTCATAACTACATAAGTCATCATGTGACTATAGTATATACAAGTTTGTTCGTTTGACGGTTTACACATCAGACTTGTGTTATCTTTCACACGATTTGACGGTTTACACATTTGATTTGTGTCTTCTTTCATAAGATCCATTCATTTGTTTTTGTGTATATGATATACTCATGGTCTTCCCGGAGCACTCTCACTGATTTCTTTCTGCAACCATGGAACTCGAAGAGGAAGAATTGAAGAGCCTACTTACAGTCTTTGCCAAGATGGGGATGTCTCCTAAGGTTGACACCCCTGAGGACCTTAAGACTTGGATTTCAGGTGTCGCACAACAGGAAGGTCCACTTGTGTTAGAGTCTGGAGCGGCTGCACAGACTGATTTCAAGCCTTATACCATGTCAGGGACTGGTATATCACAGCCTCCTGTCGCAACTTATCATCATTTCCCTAAGTTACCTTTCTTTAGCGGCGAATCAGGCAAGGATACTCCATATGATCTGTGGAGATACGAGGTTGATTGTATCCTACAGTCGGGAATACATACACCTGATATTATTTTGCAGGCTGTCCGGAAGTCATTGAAGGGTGAAGCTGCTTTGATTGCCATGAAGCTTGGTCACACAGCTCATATTGATGAACTTCTGGCAAAGATTAGGTCTGCTTTTGGGACACTTAGGAGGCGAGAGACTCTTATGTCGGAGTTCTACGGTGCCACTCAAGGGGAGAATGAAGACGTCTCTGCATGGGGTTGCCGACTGGAGAATCTCATTTATCAGATTTCTTCACAGCGTTCACTCAGTTTGAGTGAACAGGACGATATGTTGAGGAGCAAGATGTGGGATGGACTTAAGCCTGCTTTGAAGAGTTTAGCTGCCCACAAATATGATGTCATCACTCATTTTGATGAGCTCCGTTTGTGCTTGAGGGAGATTGAGTTTGACCTGGACCGTGGAAAGTCAGATGTGCTGAAGAACAAGAAGTCTGCGACTGTGAAGATGGCTTCTGCCTCTGACTCTTCTGCACCTGCTACGAAGAAGGAAGTGTTAGACTTGCAGGCCATGATGAAAGAGATCAAGACAGAGTTAGCAGAGTTGAAGGAACATCATCAACAATCAGCACAGGTGTTCCAGCAATACCGTTCTCCCAGTGCTCAAGGATCTTGGAACTCTTGGAAGGGGAGTAAACAGACTGGTCCTTATGACACTCAGACATCAGGTGGTTTCAATCAGCCAGGATACACTACCCAGAAACCATACCCATCTCAACAAATGCCTTTACGTCAACACCCTCTACCACCACAGCATGCACCTGTACCTCCTTCTATGCCACAAGGATACCGAAGACATGGACAGGACTCCAGTCATCGAGAGCCTCCTACATGCTTCAGATGTGGATGTCCTGGACATATTGCTATAGGCTGCCGTGTTCGACTGGACCACTTAAGGCGTCCTTTAAACTTGGACAGGCCTATGGGAAGGGGTCACCCTTAGGCTCATTCAGACACCCCACATCAAGTAAGGTACCGGATGAGTTAATAGGTCATGCAAATGAGGTCAACATAGAAATTGAAGGTGTGCCTGTCAATGCTTTGCTTGACACTGGGGCCACTGTCTCAATTATTTCTGAATCTTTTTACAGGGAACATTTGCATACTATTCCTATTGAACCTCTCTGTGGTATCTTAGACATAGAGTGTGCTGGAGGAAAACAACTTCCTTATCTTGGATATGTGAGAGTAGGTGTGTCCATTACAGGAGGAGGAGTCAATGACGAGGATCCTGTATCTTGTTTATTACTGGTAGTCCCTGATACAAGATACAATTCAAGAGTTCCAGCGCTTCTTGGAACAAATGTGTTGAGCTGTTTGCTTGAGGACTGCAGGACACTCCATGGACAAAGGTTTCTCCAGAAAGCCGCCTTACACACTCCTTGGTATCTGGCTTACAGGACCATAGTGTTGCGTGATAAGGAACTTGCAAGGAATGGAAGTTGTCTTGGCCTGGTAAAGAGTACAGAGGACAAGAGTTTGATCATCCCTCCTAACAGCAACATTAAGATTAAAGGACGGGTCACCAAGGGAATGACATCCCCAGCGGTGTGTGCTCTGTTACAGCCAACAGCACATGCTTCATTACCAGATGACCTTGACATTGCCCCTACCCTCATCACTTATGACAGCTCAAGGCGAGACACAGTTGATGTTCACATCTCCAACATAACAATGCGGACAGTTGTCATTCCTCCCAGAGCATTGTTGTGTGAAGTACAGCCTGTTACTATACAGAAGCCTCCCACTGGTCAACCTGTTGAACCAGAGGATCTTATGGATCAAGTGGAGATTGACAAGACAGATCTGACTAGACTGCAGTTAGGACAAGGACTTGATGTCATTATGCGTTTTGCTGACATATTCTCCAAGCATGATGAGGATATTGGACACAGTAGCATGGTGCATCACAGGATTGATTTAGTTGATGACACTCCATTCAAACAGCGACACAGAAGAATACCACCATCCATGTATGATGAAGTCCGGAACCATCTACAAATTCTTTTGTCAGCTGGAATCATCAGGAAGTCTCACAGTCCTTGGGCGTCTAATGTAGTCTTAGTTCGCAAAGGCAATGGACAGCTGAGGATCTGTATAGATTATCGCGAACTTAACAATCGGACCATAAAGGACTCATATGCGCTGCCGCGGATTGAGGAATTATTAGACTGTTTGGGAGGTAATAAATTCTTCTCCGTCTTGGACATGAAGAGCGGATATCATCAAGTTGAGGTCGAAGAAGACCATAAACAACGGACAGCTTTCACTGTAGGACCTCTTGGATTTTTTGAATATAATCGGATGCCATTTGGACTCTCAAATGCGCCAGCGACATATCAACGCCTTATGGAGCAGTGCCTGGAAGGTCTACATCTTAATATATGTCTCATATATCTTGATGACCTGATAATATTTTCCAGAACCTATGAAGAGCATGTTGAGAGACTACAGCTTGTGTTTCGGAGACTTCAGGAATGTGGCTTAAAACTTGCAGCAAAGAAGTGTAAGTTCTTCAAGAGGAAAGTCAGATATGTTGGATATATCGTCTCAGAACACGGAATCGAAGCTGATCCAGAGAAACTTGACAAAGTCAAGAACTGGCCTAGACCTACCACACCAGAAGAAGTCAGAAAATTTCTTGGGTTTGCCGGCTACTACCGGAAGTTTATTAAGGATTTTTCCAAGATAGCGAAACCTTTATCAGAACTGATGCCCAAGTCTGCTTCAAAGAAACCACGACGACCACCCACAGATGTAAACTGGATATGGGATGAAGATCAGGAGAATGCCTTCACTGAACTGAAGAATCGTCTCTCCACCCCACCAGTACTTGGATACGCTGACTACTCAAAGCCATTTGAACTACACACAGATGCCAGTGGTCATGGATTGGGTGCAGTGCTGTATCAACATCAGGAAGGGAAGTCACGGGTCATTGCCTATGCAAGTAGAGGACTAAGCCGATCTGAGAGAAACTACTCAGCACACAAGCTTGAATTCTTGTGCCTGAAGTGGGCTATCTCGGAGAAGTTCCACGACTACTTGTATGGACATGACTTTTTGGTCGTCACCGACAACAACCCTTTGACCTATGTGTTAACAAGTGCTCGACTGGATGCAACTGGACATCGATGGCTAGCGTCTCTATCCAGTTATAACTTTAGCCTCAAGTATCGACCTGGAAAAGCCAATACTGATGCTGATGCTCTGTCACGTCTACCAGAGAAGAACACAGATGAAATGGAACAGATTTCAAGGGATTCTGTTGAAGCCATTTGTAATTCTGTACATATCACCAACTTAGTGGAAAGTTTGTGTCTATCCACTGATGTTGTAGATCATGAAGATCTGGATTTGACGGGTGACAGATGTGACCAGAATGCCAGGGATTGGAGACACACACAAGCGAAAGACCAATTACTTGTGGAAATCATAGACCACTTGCGGAATGGGACGAGACCAGACAGAACTCAGTTTCTACGGGACCAAGAGATGACTACTCTGCTTAAAAGCTACAAACAGTTCAAGCTCAAAAGAGGAGTTTTATACAGAGTCACCAATGTCAATGGAGCTGATCACGACCAGTTGGTTCTTCCATCTAGATGTCGCACTGCGGCTATGAGGAGTTTACACGACAATGTTGGACATCCTGGCAGAGACAGGACAATGTCACTATTGAGAGATAGATTTTACTGGCCCGGAATGTCTCGTGATGTTGAAACTCACCTGCATAATTGCGAGAGATGTTTGAAGAGAAAAACACCAACCAACATCAGAGCCCCATTGATAAGTGTTGAGACAGCAGAACCTTTGGAACTTGTTTGCATGGATTTTCTTACCTTAGAACCATCAAAAGGAGGAGTAGAACATGTTTTGGTTGTGACTGATCACTTTACTCGTTATGCACAAGCATACCCAACCAAGAACATGACTGCTAAGACAACAGCTGAGACTTTCTTTTCGAACTTCATAGTTCATTACGGTCTACCCAAGAGAATTCACTCGGATCAGGGAGCCAACTTCACCAGCAAGATAATGCAAGAGTTATGCCAGTTATTGAACATCGACAAGTCCCGCACAACACCTTACCATCCAATGGGCAACGGGATGTGTGAGCGATTTAATCGTACCCTATGCGACATGCTTGGCACTCTTGATCAGGACAGGAAGAAGAATTGGAAGGCTCATGTAGGACCACTCGTCCATGCCTACAACTGTACCCGCCACGAATCAACATCAACAGCTCCATTCTATTTGATGTTCGGGAGACACCCTAGACTACCTGTGGATTTAGCTTTTGGCTTGGACATAGAGAAACAAGGTACCAAGTCCACCACCGAGTACACCAAGTCATTGAAAGATCGCCTCAGACAAGCCTATGAGCTAGCTACTACAGCAGCAATGAAATCACAATCCAAGCAGAAGATTGGCTATGATCACAGCGCCAGAGCAGCCATGTTAGAGCCAGGAGACCGGGTCTTAGTGAAGATCGTTGCCTTTGAAGGTAGGCATAAGCTAGCTGACAGGTGGGAGGAAGATGTTTATGTCGTGCTACGCCGACCCAACCCATCCATACCAGTCTTTGAAGTTGGTAAGGAAAATGGTGAGGGGCGGAAGAGAATTTTGCATCGTAACCTCCTGCTGCCAGTTGGTTCTATGCCTAGCCTTGGTGTGCCAATACCCAAACCAAGACGACAGAGGACACTGCCAGTAGCACCAGTTGCTAGGACAACAGAAAGTAACGACGATGTTTCATCGGATGAGGATACTGTTGTTGAGTATGCCCACCCTCCACAAGCTTCAGTGTCCACTGATATACCAGTGGATGGGCCAACTGAAGAGGAACCATCAGAGACTGTATCTGAAGGAGATGGAACTCCTATTGCAGAGGGGGAGGAAGAGCCAACTGAGGATGCTGTTCAGCATGTTGAGCAGATTCGTGAAGAAGATGGCGCTACTGGGACAGATCATGATGATGACAATGACAATGAAGAAAGAGAGCAACATCCAACTCCAGAGATAACCACTCCTGTTCCACGTCCACGGCAGTCTACTAGGACCCGGACACAGCCGAAATGGATGAAGAGTGGAGAGTTTGCTCTCTCTGCAGTTGCAGATCGGGACTGGCGTACGCGAGCCAACTTTCTCAGCTCACTTCAAGCTGACGGATTGTTCCGAGAACAGCAGCACCGACTTTCTGATGCCATCTTGGATCTTGTCACTGGCAAGGTAAAGTGACGTGGACGTCATTTTTCGATGGAGGGAAGTATGTGGCCGATGTAGTTTTTGTATATATTTGTTTTAATTTCATTTTAGGTTTTTACGTATATTTATCATATATAACTAGTTGTCCGTTTCAGTCAGCTATAACAAAGTGTATCTGACCTGTCTTACCTACTAACTGCCCCATGGCCAGAAGCTTCATTTGCTGATTGGCCAAGCTAACACCTATTGTTAAACTGCATGCTTTGATTACACTGCATACTCTCTCAGCACATAAACTGACAGAACTGCTCAGACCAGCAAAGTGTAAAGAGAGAATATTAAATCAGGTGAGTTAAATAGTTATAATCTATATCTTGTGTTGTATTTAAATAATACAGTATGTTCAAAGTGTTATATGAAGTAAACTAAATGTATGTAATCTAACATAAATGTTGATTTATGTCTAAATATTTAAATCTGCATAGGATAAGCTAAACATCCATACTTTATCACTAAAATGTATTCTATCACTTCAATGAAATATGTGTGAAAGTGTTTTACCTCAAGAGTGTTTTAATAAGCTTTGTAATGTAGAGATTTAGATGTGATACAATGCAAATCATTGTAAAGAAAATGTGTGTATTACTTTGTTCAATATATTAAATGTTAAATAGTGTTTTAGTCTATGTATTGTTTATTCAGATAATCTATGGTGTTGCCATATAGGCAGTTGGGATCCACACCCTTGTATCACCCACAGGGTATGCATTGTGTTATTTATATTTGTCTAAGACTTACAATGTAATCTAATTGTGATAACCACATTTAATGTAATATCATATCATTAATTTCTGTCTTAAAGTATTGTATATGTTTATGCAGAATGTGTAAGCGTTATGCATTTATATTATGTATATATATTGTGTATATATTATAGTCAAATGAAAGTCAAGGAGTTATCTCCCTTGAAGGTCGGTATTGTTGATCATGTACATACTGTATATGTTCTAGTTATAATCGTTTAAGGTTCAGTCTATCTTGTGTTTAATGGATGACTAATATATGTAAATAATTACTTGTACTAAGCCTATGCTGTGTATCTAGCATTAATGATAATGTTTTACTTAGTATTTATTGTGTTATTATGTGTTTCAGGGTGTATGATATATAGATCCTTATCACACTCGACGCATCGCAATAAAGACCTCAACCCCGCAGCATGTGTTTGTTCGCTATAAAAAGACCTTCACTAAACTGCTACAAAATAACCACGGGTCCGGGTAGTCCTGTGGGTACCCGGGTCCTATTCAGTACCCACCCGACCCGAGTACCCGAGTTACCCGTCCCAGCCCTAGTATTCTATCAAGCTTTTTACGTCTTGAGTGTTGTCAAAGGTTCATCAAATACTGGTTAACTTAGACCTGGTTGATATAAATTTCCCATATTAAGAAACACTCCAGGTCAATTGTCTCCACATAAACATCTCCTATGTATAAAGGTGCTCCTTCTCTATGTGAATACATGTCACTCATGTAGCCTGAGAAAGACTGTAGTGAAGGTACAAAAGCAACAAGCAGTCAGTTGTTCCCCATTATAATCCCTAGGAAATGAGAAACAAGGGAAACGTAAGATCTGTCAAACACCATCGCCTGAAATGTCCTGTGAAGTAATTTTCGGCATTATCAAAATGTCATTCATTGAAAAAACGATCAAAACAAACTATTTTTCTTGTCAGGAGGAGCATGAGCCCTGGGAATCTTAGTTGGCAGTCAGAGCCAGTTTAAATATGACAGAAAAGGAAGGCCAGAGAATTAAGTGTGCTCGTGTGAATATTTGCTCGTAGCTGTTACATAATCAGCATTCGTGTTTTTTTGGGCTGTAGGATGTGTTGGGAGGGGAAGAGGCATTTACATTGTGGAACTTCACTGGTGGTGAGCGCATCTCTTGTGCCTAATCCTCCTCAGTATCGGTCTCTTGTTGTCTCCAGTCTGTACTTAAAGATGGCAGAATGCTAAGCTCTGGTGTCTTGTCGTGTAATGTTTGTGTATTTGGGAAGAGATTTGTGTGACTGTGGAGCTGATTGTTGCTCACTGATCCTGTCATGCTGGACACACATTAAGTGTTACTTGAGGCAGGTTAGGCCAGACCGACGGGGTTACATGTCTGGTGTACAGCTACTACTCAAAAGAAGTTAAGGACCACCTGCTTCTTTCATATTACTATAGTAAATCTGTCATACTACTCAAAAGAAGTTAAGGACCACCTGCTTCTTTCATATTACTATAGTTAATCGGTCATACTACTCAAAAGAAGCGAAGAACCACCAGATTCTTTCATATTACTATAGTTAATCTGTCATAGTACACAAAAGAAGTTAAGGAAATGTGAAAGCATCAGGTGGTGCTTCACTTGTTTTGAGCAGTATAAAAGCAGGGATCTGGAAACGGTCATATGCGCCGGACATGTCTGATTGGGAATCTCAAATGTCCAGTTTAAAATATTGGTTACCGGACATTTAAATTTTTCTGTCCGGACATTTTAATAAACAAACAATGCTTCCTTCGGGATCCAAATAATTGATGAGCGTTATCGTATCCCTTCAGCAAATTCAGGTGAATAAACAGGTATAACAAACTTGGTGAATAAAATTATGAAATTTGATATACAATATCACTAGACATGATGATTAACCATTTAAAATGTATTTCCTGCTCTCCAAGGTATTGTTTAATATACAGAGATTAAGATTACCGTGTGTATTTTCTCGTAAACTAAGCCGGAAATAGCAATCAGCTGTGCACACATTTCCTCTCAATCTACCTGTGATTCAGTTAAAAAGTACCAAATGATACAACTTCAAAGAATTTTGATGCAATGGTCAGAAGAAATTGTATCTTAAAATTATTAATTTATCAGGAATAATATATTCCAATATCGTGTTAATTTAGTTGCAGCTTCCACCATATATACTTAAAGTAATAAGAACCATAAGTGTTGCACTTTGGTACAGATGGTATGCAGGATATTTTTTGACGTATGGAACGATTTTGACCAGTCACCGTAGGGACTTCCCGCGCTACATGTATTTTGATTGCAATAACGTTATGTTGACATTTAATAGTCAAACTGCCTCAAATATGACTTTTAGCGAGTCATGGTACGGCATTTATGATACATGTTTTCATTCTCTTGCAACTAAAGTTCGTTTCAAGGCGTCAATGGTGGTAATCTGACTGTGGTTGCTGTAAATAACGGTGAGTTGGGCGATCTACTGATCACTTCGCATACGATTTCCCCGAAAGTATTGTGAACATTATTATAATTATTGAATGAAATATCGAATAAAATTAATCAAATATATTGCAAACTCTAGTCCAGATAAACAATGAACAATTTTTTTATGACCAGATATTACTATAAATGGATCAAATTGTGTACTTCACTTCAGATTTGTTGACTGGTATTTCCGGTGTTACGTGATCGCGGTGATCAGCTGATAACGTTTTTTGAGATGGGGGAAGCATCGTGTCATTGGGAAACTTGAGTTTATTAAAAATGTTAGTAAATTTTTGGAGCCATGCTTTACCGTGCTATAACCAAAGCTCGCAATAACGAGGGAACACTGTACGTAACAACTTGTAATGTGTGTGAAAAGTCGTACAAAAATACGCTATTTGAAGGGGGCGTGGCCTAAATGCAAAAATTTCCGGACCCCTGTATAAAAGATTAACTATAGTAATGTGAAAGAAATTAGGTTGTCCTTAACTTCTTTTGAGAAGCATTTATTATGCCAGGTTTTCTGTGACACTGAAGTCACAAGGGTATTTCAGGTGATTTGGCTTATTCAGTTCTTGTAATAAATAACACTTCTGCATTATGGTTACATGTTACAGGACACACTTATTACTGTGTGAGTTGTTCTGTACTTCTGTCAACAAATATTCAAGTCACAGCTATATCTTTTAGCCATTGAGTATGTACTCACATGTTATTATTCACATTGGATATTGATAGTTTTCTGGGGGTATTTTTACTCTCTTGGGTTCAATCTATTGGGTATTTTACACCTGTGAGTCGACATTTGATTTAATAATCTACTTGAAATGCTGTCACAGGTTACTTCTGATTTCTTCTCAAGTGTGTAACGTGTCGCATAAACTCATAACAGTGATATACATGTCTAATTAACAATAAGCGAGAAGTAGTGAATTTTTTATGCATTATACACTGAAGTAGAGTTCATGCCTGTGTGTTTCCTGCATTCTAGGGCTGGGATGGTTAACTCGGGTTGAGTGCGTCCTGAGTAGGACGAGAGAGCCCTACCCTGACCTGTGGTCAGTCACATGATATATTGTTTAATGACAATAACAATAACTCCATGGTTAGAAACAAGTAACTAATGTTCGCTTTTCTTTCTGACGTCTATATGTTTGAGTGATGGTAAAGCTTCAGTCAACAGCAATCTATGCATGATGAGATCATTTTATACATGTATCTAAAAAGTTAAAATAATTGCCAATGTGACATTTGGTACCGATCTCATGAGACCTACTGCTGGTACTCGGGTAGGAAGTAAATGCAAGTGATATCAGAGGTGGAATCTGATTGGTCAATGGGAGGGACGTAGAAGGGACATAACATGTAATAGCCACTAATGGTGCTACGATTAGCCATGAAAATTCCAGCCTAGTTCGGCAAGGGTGGAAACTGGACTTTGATAGTCAGTTAACTTCCTTGCCTCAGGAAGATGGCATGACTCAACCCCCAACATGTCTCGGTCACCATTACTCAACCCATTCACACAAGCTGCCTATAATAAGAGTTCTAACAATTAGTTTTTTTGTAAGTTTATGTGCCAGATGGTAGGTACTTGAAATTGAAATGAATAGTAAATTCACTATAAATGTGAAGTTCATGGATTACGTCCCTATTATGCTGGTAATTATCGTAGTTTCAACTGCATCTGTATATCCTATATGTATGTAATCAATACCAAGTAGCTGTTACACTTGATCAGTTACCCCTGCTTCTGGTAGACACCAGCAGTCGTCTGCAACAATAACATTGTCCCCAGGATCAGTTATATTTAGTATAGATAAGTCCACTTACCTATTGCAGCTGTGAACGTGTGACAACTACAGAATACTGCTATTTAGTTAGTTTATACTTGCCACGTTTTCCACAAAGATCAGATGACTGTTTGAAATGGATAAGTTACTTAAATTTTTAGGCTGCCATGTCATGTCTTGTGAAGGTGAGAAGTGAATGCAACATGTTCTAGAATTGCCGGATTTGCCCAGCTCTAATTGACCCGTGAAGATCTTGGTAGAGAATAGGTCTTCAGCAACCCATGCCTGCCGTAAGAGGCAAGTATGCTTGTTGTAAGAGGTGACTGATGGGATCGGTTGGTCAGGCTCTCCGACTTGGTTGATGTAGGTCATCGTACCCCAATGACTAAGAGGCAAGTATGCTTGTTGTAAGAGGTGACTGATGGGATCGGTTGGTCAGGCTCTCCGACTTGGTTGATGCAGGTCATCGTACCCCAATGACTAAGAGGCAAGTATGCTTGTTGTAAGAGGTGACTGATGGGATCGGTTGGTCAGACTCTCCGACTTGGTTGATACAGGTCATCGTACCCCAATGACTAAGAGGCAAGTATGCTTGTTGTTAGAGGTGACATGGGATCGGTTGGTCAGGCTCTCCGACTTGGTTGATGCAGGTCATCGTACCCCAATGACTAAGAGGCAAGTATGCTTGTTGTAAGAGGTGACTGATGGGATCGGTTGGTCAGGCTCCCCGACTTGGTTGATGCAGGTCATCGTACCCCAATGACTAAGAGGCAAGTATGCTTGTTGTAAGAGTTGACTGATGGGATCGGTTGGTCAGACTCTCCGACTTGGTTGATGCAGGTCATCGTACCCCAATGACTAAGAGGCAAGTATGCTTGTTGTAAGAGGTGACTGATGGGATCGGTTGGTCAGGCTCTCCGACTTGGTTGATGCAGGTCATCGTACCCCAATGACTAAGAGGCAAGTATGCTTGTTGTAAGAGTTGACTGATGGGATTGGTTGGTCAGGCTCTCCAACTTGGTTGATGCAGGTCATCGTACCCCAATGACATTGATCATGATGTCAATCACTGGATTGACCCATTGACTACCTTTCGAAAGGTAAAATATTCAGTCTAATTATTGTCATGCTGTGATTAGCTGCTGATTAATAATATAAGAAGTGAACAGACTATTGATTTTCACTGCCCCTCAGTCATAGACGTACAACAGAAACCACAAAGATATTCTATAACCTTATCAGTATCAAAACGTGACATGGTCACATGGTTTACTTCCTGTTTCACACAGTGAAATTTATGGTCTTGGTCGAAGACAAAAATAAAATACCTTATCGAATAGCAAATATATATTACTGCTTGAACTGTTAGGTAGCCAAGGTCTGCACTTGTAGCTTCTTCTGCGGTAGAGACGAGGCACTGAAGCCGAGTTCGCATTTGTCTGAGGAATACAAGTCAACCATTATTCATAGAACGTCTATTTACCACCTGAACAGGTAGGAATCCAGCCCGTTGGAGGCATTGAGCACACTCTTGTCTCTGAAATAGCATTGATTGTGTTTAGAGTTCCTCGTACCACATAAACTGGTAGGAATCCAGCCCTTAATTGGATGCATTCTAGCACATTTGTGTCCCTGAAGAAGCATTCATTGTCAAAAGTGCTTCTATTATCACCAGAACAGGAAGAAGTCCAGACATTTACAATGTTTGCTGGTTTGTATTCCGAGTATTTAAGTTTTTTCTAAGATAGGTATTTTCATAATCTATCAAAATAAATTTTCTGATATTATGCAGTTAATAAGGTAGGCGGGGGTTAGTATGTATTCAGTCACAGTGGGTGCACTTTTTAACTGCTGTACCAGGTGCTGTGGCCAATATTGAAATCATTCACTGTGTTTGGAATGTTGCATGAATGTATAATTAATATTATTTAATGTTTCAAAATATTTTAACCAATTTTATATTTTAGTACGTTATATAAGAAAATATACTTTTTATATGATTGTTTGCAAATTTTGAGCAATGGATAAAAATGTGCAAATTTACATATTGCCCTCAATTTTAAAAAAGAAACTGCCTCTGTGGTCTAGTAGATAGAGTGTCTGCCTGGAGGGGGAATGTTGGTGGTTCGATCCTCTGGCCGCATCAAACCAAACAGTGCTGAAAGATGGTACTTGTTGTTACCCTGCCTGGTGCTTGGTATTAAGGTGATAAAACTGATCGGCTCGGAGTCATTTTACGGAGTTTGGTATCCATGTTTAACTATGGCATGGTATTTCAGTGGGCTAGCACTATAAGACCGCCATTAGTCAGGACTAGTACAAGCAGTCACACACAAACATGCTTGCACATCGCTATATGAGTGAAATGAACTTGAACACAACATTATGCTCCATTTCAGCTCCTTTTCAAAAGAGTGGGTGTGCAGCTTTCTTGGTGCATTTATAAAAAAGAATGTAAAACATGCCAGATGAATGCCGATTTTTAAGTTGGGAAACAATTTGCATTTCTCAGCCAAAACTCAATGAAATGTATTTTTGTTGAAGACATGTCACCAAGTGATCCTGTTGAATGTCTTTATTTTATTAATGGGTGTGGTTGAAGCGTTTGCTCATCACTCCAAAGCCCGGGTTCAATTCCTCACCTGAAGCCCATTTCTGATGCTCCCAGCCATGACATTGCTGGAATATTGCTAGAAGCATTGTAAAACCATCCTCAATCACTTGATATATTAACTGGATTAGTGTGCTTCAAAAGGAAGAGGGGATAAACACCTCTGCACCTTCCCTGTGGATCGTGGTGTGGTTGCTGTGCTGCAAATATATACAAATAATATCATACATGCACATCACAGTGCACTAACAAATGTAAAAGAATCATACCGTTCTGAATGTAGAACTTTTTTTTAGAAATCGATAAATTATTAAATGATTTCTGTTTTCAGAAATGTGCCATGTGCCCTACAAGAAAATGATTTGTCGGTGTGCTGCGTTGCCATTATGATGCTGTCCAGGTAGACCAGAAGAGGCATTGCAGGATGCCAGCAGGGTACCAGATGCCCCAGGCATGGACTGGTAAGTCAGACTACAGCAGATAATTCCTGGACATTATAGACTCTCACACATAGACAGATATTTAGAGGAAATTGTATATTGTTCTAGTTCCCGACTCAACCTTTTCCTTTGACCTGTACTCAGCCCATTTCTTGAGGGCTTTTGTGATGATGTACATTTTATATAAAAGTTTGCATCCACTGTAAAATTAAAAAGTCATAAAATATATAATAGCCTATACTGCCTGTAACTTTGAAAACCAAGAACTACAATTATTTAATCAATTCACAGACAAATCTTATTAACATGTTTCCAAGTCCAAAATGCCCTAAGAGAGTTTTTTGTTGTAAATTCCAATCACAATCCTATATAGCAACAGATTTCTGTAAACTCCACATGCCCCACGAAGTCTCCATTTCAATAAATCCTGAAATCACTGCGATTGGTAGCCAGGGGATCATGTGTTAAATCTAGACTTCAATATAAACGTGGCTGTTTTACGGCCTAGTGATCTATAAAGGGTGTGTTAAGAGGGGCCTGTGATTCCACGGAGATCACTTTCAAGGGAGAGCAAGGGCTTACTTCCTGAGTTCAGATTTACCGATGTTGGCGCCAGTGGTTTTTCATATGACTTGGTCAACTGTAAAGTCGTAATTGTTGCGCTATTACTATGTCCCCACTCACTGGGGATTTGATGGCTTTGAACGAATTGCTAAGATGTCAAGGTCTGAATTTCATTGAGTAAATGTAACATTGGTACGGAGGCTCATTGTGATGACTGGAGTAATGTGTTCGATCTGGTTAATATCGTCTCTGTCTCAATACCCTTGTGGGAATTCCAGAACAGAGTAGGGACAAAATTCCACGTGCTTGTTTTGAGGGCTGTCTGTTGAGGATCAGTTGTTGCAATGTGTGTACCCTGGCAGCCTGTATTGTTGCTCATGCTGTCAACCACTAGCCTAGATTTGGTTCTTTATAAACTGCAGTGTTGTTTCTAGAGTTAGTGCGTATTGTTGCTCATGCTGTCAACCACAAGCCTAGATTCGGTTCTTTACAGACTGCAGTGTTGTTTCTAGACTTAGTGCGTTTTGTTGCTCATGCTGTCAACCACTAGCCTAGATTTGGTTCTTTACAGACTGCAGTGCTGTTTCTAGAGTTAGTGCCTATTGTTGCGCATGCTGTCAACCACTAGCCTAGATTTGGTTCTTTACAGACTGCAGTGTTGTTTCTAGAGTTAGTGCGTATTGTTGCTCATGCTGTCAACCACTAGCCTAGATTTGGTTCTTTACAGACTGCAGTGCTATTTCTAGAGTTAGTGTCTATTGTTGCTCATGCTGTCAACCACTAGCCTAGATTTGGTTCTTTACAGACTGCACTGCTGTTGCTAGATGCTGTGCGTATGGATTTATGCCACTTTTACCAATATTTCAGCAATATCACAGCAGGGCTTCACAAATTGTACCCATGTGGGGAATCGATCCCAGGCCTTTAGTGTGACAAACAAACTCATTAAACACTAGGCTACCCCACGACCCCTGATATTGCTGGAATATTGCTGACCTTTACAGAAGACAACACTCATTGTCTCGACTCACTGGAGTCTTCTGGTAGACTTCTAATGGGTTCGTTCCTGTTTGTGACATTGAAAATCCTTGCTTTGTCTGAAACGTGGAGTAAATGTTCCACTGAAGTTTTCTGTCAGTTCAGTTTTTGTGTTCTTTCAGTAATATACTCCTTCCTTTGTCAATCATTTAATTGTGACTAGAACATGAAGTAGACAAGAGTGCCTTTCGATGATAACATCATCTATATACATGACAGATATATTTCTTCATGGAAACCATTTAATATCTAATTTGGAAAAACAATCTGTATTGACATCCCAAATGTGCATATGTATGTCTTTAATCAATGTTGTTTAAACTGTTCCATGAAAACATCCAGATTCCCAACTGCCCCCGTGGTCTAGAGGATAGAGTCTTAACCTGGAGAAGGAAGGTTGGTGGTTCGATCCACATCTAAATTTCCAACACCCTGTTCTAATCATATTCCTCCCAAACCCAACTGTAGAAAACAACATTTATATCCTCTGTTAGCTCTGTTCCCCTGTGGAGATTCTGGATGAGAGTCTCTGGATGAGAGTATGTCCTGAGTAAGACACGACCAAATGGATCGGGTTGTCAAGATCGGGGACTTGATAGCGTGTCCTCATACCCTGATGGATTGTCTGGTCCAGACTCGATTATTTACAGGCTGCCTTCATATAGCTTGAGTAATGCTGAGTGTGGTGTTAAACAGCAAACAAACAAACAAAAACTTACATAAAGTAATATTGGCAGCACCTTCACATTGAAAAATTCAAATACCACATTAAAAAGGAATTTACAAACTTTAGACTGGAAAATCTGATAACCAGAATCTGGTTCTAAAATATACCACACAACTTTTGATAGGGACATTTTTGTTATTTCTTTACATACAGAAATATCCTTATCAAATGATGAGTAGTATATGTAACCCGAAAAGACTTTTTGTGATCAAATTTTGTTTTGATGTTACATGATGCTACAATCTTTATCACAGTCGTGGACATCAAGAATGAACTTAATTCTAGCATTGTTACAGTGTGGGGAATAGAACCTGAGTATTTGACCTGGCAAGCTAAGACTTTACCCGCAAGGCTACCCTGACCTCTAATGTACAGCGCTTTGAACAAAACAAATAATGAGTTTTATGTAATGTTCATTGATAATTTTGATATGATTGTTGTTTATAAATAAGTTTGATGACGCTGGTTAACACTGAGCATCACTTGACATTTTGCTGCATCCGCATCTCAACCCCAGCTTCCGACCTCATCATCACGGTGAGGTCCTCAGCTGGTACAGCCTGCCGAACCAGATCTTAGTTGGATCATCTAGACAGCAACCCATTAACTTTCGTTCAATACTTGATTTGATCGTTTGATCTCTTTAAGTGATATGATACTGACATTAAGAGTAAATTGACTTGTTTGCAGCCATTTTGAAAACGCTTCTTTAATAAAAATGTTTGGTTTGTCCTGTAGACAAGATACATTCCATCCAAATCCATAACCTGGTTCATAGAGAAACTGATCTCATGCTAGCCCTAGTCTCAGGAATCGTATCATGTAGACTATTATAGTTCCATGTATTTCATGTCTTGTAATATTGGTGCACCTTCCTTACTCGTGTAGTTTTGTAAATAGCCTGGGTTTTTTGTTATTTGGGCCTGACACTGTGCTTCTTTTACAAATTTACCTGATTTTTTCAAAAACATTTTTCTTCAAAGGCTGTCATTGTTTGAAAGTAGGCATTTGCTGCACAACCTTTTGATCACATTTTTGTAAAGCTTTTATTTCAAAGGATGTTTTTAGGAAAATAATCTCAAATGAATGTTTTTATATTTTTACTGTTTCCTCCTGTCTCTGGTTTGCGGAAATCTGTAAAACATGTGAACATGACATTAACTTGCAGACTTCAAAAAGATGCTACACAAATTGATATGGAAATTGGGGAAAATGGTTTTTCATCAACTAAAGATGAATCTTGAGCAGATGGTGTGCTACATGTAAGTTAATATTTAGGATTCTTGGTTTGTGATTGAACAAGTACAGTTATTCCCTAGAACAAATATCAGATGGGTCACTAAATTTCTTTGTTGTGGTTGCATGCCATCCATTGTTGGGCCAGTGGAAAAGTGTTGACTGGCTGGCATACCTACTATCAGGTATTGTCCACTTCAATCCTAGACAGTCGTCAGTTGTGCTGATGGAGGGTTTTCATAAAGACTGACATAGCAACAACATTGAAAATATTAATTTGATGTTGACCACAATGCATCATAATGACATGTACTGTATTTCCTGTGTATGGTGTTCACTTTAAATATATATATTAAAAGCAGCAACTAATATGCTGCATCAAGTTTTAGAATATTATATTCATGGCACAATAATAAGTTAAATGATTATTATTATTGTTGTTGTTGCTGTTATTATTATTATTATTATTATTATTATATAAATTTATATACCACAGGTAACCAGGAACTAGTATCTGCTTGAATAGTTTTATTTGTTCCCGGACCAGTTAATCCGCATTCCAGTTATAATTCTCAACTCCCTGGGGAGGATAAAACTCAAGTTGCCTACAGGCGCTCGAGGGTTTTTACATCCCTCCCATATGGGGTACTATTATCTGCCGGATGATTATGGGATGGGTGGGCGGGTGCATGGGTATGTACCCTGCCATTGTAAAGTATATTAAACATATACAAAAACAAAATTAAACCAGTAGGTGAATTGTTTCATGAATTATTAGCACTCATCCAGCAAGTTTTATTTTAAGTGCCCCCTTCCCCCCTAAAAAAAGCTGTATCAAGCTTGAGATGGTGTGAGTGATTGCTGCCAGCCGCTGGCTTGTGTAGTCCAGACTTGTGTATTCACGGCTCCCGTGATGTAGCTGTTAAATGGATGTCAACAAACATGCATCCAAGTCTTGATGCATCAGGGCGGGTCTGAGCTAAACTCCTTCAACTCAGTTAAAGTGGCTAGAAATCTCACTGAATTACTGTTCCAAGTGAAACGAAACCAGACTCACTGATCACTCCTTTCAGTCTTTATCATTATGACTAATAATCACTCACTCACTCACTCACTCACTCACTCACTCACTCACTCACTCACTCACTCACTCACTCACTCACTCACAACACCACTCACTCACTCACAACACCACTCATTCAACTACTCAGTCACTCACTCACTCACTACACTACTCACAACACCACTCATTCAACTACTGTCACTCACTCACTCACTCACTCACTCACTCACTCACTCACTCACTACACTCACTCACTCACTCACTCACTCACTCACTCACTCACTCACTCACTCACTACACTACACCACTCACTACACCATTCACTACACCACTCATTCAACTACTCAGTCACTCACTCACTCACTCACTCACTCAACAACTCAACCACTCTCA